CAATTGGACATGCTTTGATACTATATATGCCCTTGAATTTTTACAAGATAACATTTTTGTTCGCTTTGGAGATTCCGTATATCGTCAGGTTATCGGAATTCCAATGGGGACTAACTGTGCACCACTTATTGCGGACCTTTTTTTGTATTGCTATGAGTTACAATTTATGACAAAAATCAGCAAAGACCCATCGAAACAACATCTGATACACAAATTTAATAATACTTTTAGATATTTGGATGATATTTTGGCTCTCAATAATGAGGACTTCAGTATGTATACTAAAGAAATTTATCCTGTTGAACTTACTTTAAATAAAGCTAATACTAACAATGACCACTGCCCTTTCCTCGATCTTGATATCTATATCATTAACGGAAAGCTTAATACTAAAATATATGATAAAAGAGATGATTTTTCATTTCCTATCGTTAATTATCCATTTTTAGATGGTGACGTTCCCTTGTCACCATCTTACGGTGTTTATATATCTCAACTTGTACGATTCGCTCGTGTATGTAACAATGTTTTAGATTTTAACGAGAGAAATTTATGTATTACTGAAAAATTATTACACCAGGGTTTTCGATATCACAAACTAGTCAAAACATTTACTAAATTTTATCATCGGTATAAGGACATCATTCGTAAATATAGCTCAACATGCAGACTTCTTATACGTTCAGGTATTTCACATCCAATTTTTTATGGAAATATTCCTTATAAAGCACAAAAATGTCAGTATTCACCTCTGAAGCTAACAAAACCTTTAAATAGACTTATTAAGAAGGGATATAGTTACGATACTGTTGTCAGGTCATTAAAGATTGCATATTTTGGCGTTAATATTGATTCACTTATAGGGTCTTTGCATCGGCACTAAACACATTTATTTAAAAACCAGTTGTTGGCATGACACGGGTTATGTTCTTCTCATATATGTTATGATGGTATGATACTAAACCCCTAACGGGAAGGATTGTGCCTGATATTCATATGATGAAGACATAATCTTTCAATCAGTTTAATTGAAGTCTGGAGCTGGCATGTCAGTTAACTGCTAGTAGTCTGTTGTTATTTATGTATTATTGTCATTTTGTTTATTTTCTTTGGTTACATCTTCTGACATCAGACTCGGACTTCTCTTGAACTGAATTTTAATGTGCGTATTGTTATGCGTTTACTTTTCTACATTGGCTAGAGGTATAGGGGGAGGGTTGAGATCTCATAAACATGTTTAACCCCGCCGCATTTTTGCGCCTGTCCCAAGTCAGGAGCCTCTAGCCTTTGTCAGTCTTGTATTATTTTTAATTTTAGTTTCTTGTGTACAATTTGGAGTTTAGTATGGCGTTCATTATCACTGAACTAGTATATATATTTGTTTAGGGGCCAGCTGAAGGACGCCTCCGGGTGCGGGAATTTCTCGCTGCATTGAAGACCTGTTGGTGACCTTCTGCTGTTGTCTGTTCTATGGTCGGGTTGTTGTCTCTTTGACACATTCCCCATTTCCATTCTCAATTTTAATTTTACTATTATCATATATTCCTTTATAGTATCCCATGGGACAGGAAAGACTTCTACTAAGGTCAAAGGTCAAAGGTCAAGAATACTACTAAATATTTGGCAATTTGGAATTTTACCTTTTGAAACATATGCCCAAGTTATTTGAAACATATGCTCACGTTAATTTTAGTTGTTAATGTCTCATTAGATGCACAAACACCCCTTTTAATTAAGAGGTTACATGTACTAGGTCAAAAGGGAAGGTTACAGCAATAATGGTTAAACTTCAGCTTTACGTTAGGGAAAAAATGGGAGTAAACTTTAGTTTTCGGATGTTGTTTCAAAATTTTACCATAGCGACTCTTAGAAAGTAGGAGATACTATTGTTTTAAAGTCAGCAGGTCAAATACTAGAGTCAAAGTACATTTACATAGGTACTAATACACCTTAATTGCTTCTGAAATTTTATTTTATGTTGATGATGTGCCAAATTTACGTGTTTGTTATGAATTTCCATATATATCAAATATCGTTTATATTTATATTCTATATTCCTCCATTTTATTTTATGTTGATGAGGTGCCAAATTTACATGTTTGTTATGAATTTCGATAGATATCAAATATCGTTTATATCAATATTCCTCCATTGTCCTTATTTTTATTTGATATGTACACTCCTAAATTGTCATGTTTCAAAATTGTTCAAAATATTGAAATTATGTAAGGATATATATGTTTGGACGAGAAAGTACAATAATCTGTCGGTGTCATAAAGAATTACTTGAACATTTCGATTAACATGATTAAATCATATTTAAGGTTGTATTGGATTATTTAAATGTTTTTCATAATTTGCCAAATAAATGTTATACACATTTTAATATGTTCGAAATATTATAAAAATCATAGGTCACTGGGCTTGTTTTCATGCTACTGGTTATGAAACAAGACACATTTTGTAATGATTAAACACAGAATAAAACATAATTATGTGAATAGAAGGTAAATTAACAGATAGAATGTTGAAATAAAATAGGAACAGATAGCTGTCATAAAAAGGATTCAGAATATCAAAAGAAACAATGGGGTCACCGTACGTTTTTGTCAGCTATAAAATAAAATACAAAAAACAATCCTACGGATTCCTTTTTTAAATTATACAATTACCGAGGAAAAGCCGACATGGTAAGAAAAATACAAATAATTACACCATTACTAACACAATTCTATATTAATATTCTTGTAATGGTTAGAAAATACATCAAATAACACCATTACAAACTTAATCCCAATTTTATATTCAATTTTTAGAAATTTACCTGTGACGTCACTTTTTGTGGCGTTGATACATTTGTGTGACTCACAGTTCACAATTCTATTGTGCTGTACTTGTGTACTGTCGTAAATTAGTTTTAGTTGTTCGTTGTTATTCTGTGGTTTAGATGTTGAAATGTACTATTATGTTGTTTATTTGTGTATTTCTCTGTCCTGAGTGTTCTTGCATTTGTTTTACTGTATTCCTGTCACGTAATGTTGTCCTTTTAGCCGTATTTTTAACATTTCCATATAAGCGGGTGGTTTGGCTAGCCATAAAACCAGTTTCAGCCCACCATTTTTTCTTAAAATGTCCTGTACCTAGTCAGGAATATGGCAGTTGTTATCAAATAGTCCGTTTCTATGTATGTTGGCGTTTGTTTTTGTAGCAGTTCAGTGTTTGGTGTTCCGTTGTTTTCCTCTTAAAGTTGATGTGTTTCCCTCGGTTTTGGTTTGTGACCCGGATTTGTTTCAGTTAAATCGCTTTATGACTATTAAACAGCGGTATACTACTATTGCCTTTATTTAAAACTTTAATACGCTAAGTTAAAAAAAAAATGAAATCAATCAAAAACGTCAACCTTTTTAAAACAATCAGTAATTATCAGATAAAATGGTACAAATATGTTCAATGTTTACTCAAATGAAAATTTGAATTGCATTCTTGCGTCGAAATTTGCTTATTATACCCTACGCAACGAGTTGAGGAGGGTATAATGTTTTTGACCCGTCCGCCCGTCAGTCCGCCAGTCCGTCAGTCCGTCAGTCCTGTTTCTTGTCATCGCAACTCCTCTCAAACCACACAACAGAATTTCATGAAACCTTTTCAGATAATAAGAACATACTACGTAGATGTGCATATCGACAGGAAATTACGATTCAATTTTTTTTCCAGGAGTTACGCTCCTTTGAACTTATTTGCCCATTATACTACTGCAACCTTTTGTCATCGCAACTCCTCTCAAACCACACAACAGAATTTCATGAAACTGTGTAGATAATAAGGACATACTATGTAGATATGCATATTGACAGGAAATTATGATTCATTTTTTTTTTCTGATACAATTTTTTTTTCTTACACTTATTTTATTTCTCCAATGACAATGTGGGGACGTGGGGTATGTGAGCGCGCTCACTAAGGTTCTTTAATTTGAACAAAAATCGACACCTGTCGTGTTCTGCTATTTCACAATCCAAGAATGCGGAAGTCTCTCATCTACATAACTGTCATGCGTCCGAAGAAATTTTCTGGATTTACCTTTATCATAAACTTTATAAACCGAATATGTGAATGCCGAGGATTTATAAGAAACGAAACAGTTGAAGAGCTATATGAATAAAATGACCTAAAATAATAGCAAAAACCATCTAAGGTCAAATTTTCCTGAGGGAATTAATGTTTTAATTATGGTCATCAATATCAAATCCTTTCAAATATCCATTTTTATTAAGTTTGACTAACAATTCTGTTTTTTAATACATTTTTCTCAGGCATTCCAATTGTTTTAATAACAAAATGAGTTGGTGTATTTTGATATTTCTTTAAGAATCGTTAATTACTATCTTAACTACCTTTTACATTGTAGATCATACAAACTTCTTTTAATGTGTATAACAAAGCATACATTCAAATTTTTAGGAATGTTTGGGTCCCCTATGCTCTTTAACTTTATTTGGCCTTTTTTTACTTTTTTTATTCGAGCGTCACTGATGAGTCTATTGTAGATGAAACACGCGTCTGCCGTACACAATTTATCCTTGTATCTATGATGAGTGTATTAACTAATCTTTAATATAGTATATTGCTTTTTGGTTGTACAAACCTTTAACCATGTTAAATAATACTTTTTTCTGTGGCTTTTTTGTTATTGTACTTTGTTTGCGTACCGTAACATATGCCTGAAAGGAAACGGTAAGATATCTCTTACATTTCTGTTGTTCTATTTGCCATTGTCTTTCTAAATGTTGTTATGATCTATCATTTATTCACTGAACATAAATGTTGAATTATACACTTGATAACTTTTCGAAACATAAAACAAATATGAAGAAAAACAAAGGAACGTTATTCGATATTATTTGAACTGGTTTCGTTTTTATAGCAGACACGATAGGAAGACACGTATCCATTTGAAACCTTTTCAACAAGTCTAATGAACAGATTTATATTTAGAAATTTATCCTTCTGTCAATCATTTTGATATGAAATGCACGATAGATCAGAAAAGGTATAACACATAACAGTCATTAAAACAATGCAACTGTCACAAAGAAACGCTGATACCAGACAGACTAACAACGGAATTAAAAAAAGGTGTGTAATCTCTTATTTTGTATAATGTAAATCCAGAAATTATTGCATACATCTATTATTGCAAATTTTGAAAAAAGGACAAAAATGCGAGATTTATTATTGCAATTTCAGGAAAAATCTGATTACACTTATATATATCAGATATCAGAATGCGAGTTCTTATGTTTGCTATAATCACCAAATCGTATTATTCGCGATAATGAAAACCTCGCAATAATTTCGCAATTTACAGTATTTGTTTTTTTCGAAAATCCTTATTTAAGTTTGTTTCAATGTTTTTATTCAACCTCCTGTTTCAATTGAAATGAAGTAAGGGCTTGAAATTAGATTTATTCAAATATTTTTTTGATACAATAGCATGTGAACGGAACTATTGAGGGGGCGTATTATCGGTTAGATACACTTAATATTTCGGTTGTTGCATTGCTGTAAACCAACTTCTTTTCGCGGATACTATATTTCGCGTGTTACCCTTTCTAGTCCACTTTGCGACTATTTAATTTCGCGATTTTCTAATCTATTTGATGTAGTTTAATAAGGAAACATCCAAGTTTTACATATTCGCGATGATTTATATTCGCGTTATTCTTCTACACACGATTGTCGCGAAAACAAATCGATTGCGAAAATAAGTTGGTTTACAGTATTTGTTTTTGCTCCGAACTTTCTACAAAAAACTAGAAAACTTGCCTACAAGTGTTAAATTTGGTGCTTGACACTTATTTTTTATTTGAACGAACTTGATTTTTATAGTTTGTCCTTATGTTGTTCTGTTAAACCATTGTTCCAGGTTAGGGACAGGGCTGAGCGATCACAAACATGTTTAACCCCGCCACATTCTTTATGTGCCTGTCCCATGTCAGGAGCTCTCTTCACTTATAAGGTCACTTGTCATTTCCTGTTATTTCAATGGTCACCATATCAGTCTATTTGCCGGAGAAATTGTATAAATTGTTGAAAGACCTATATGTGTCGGACAAATAAGCTGTTGAACGATTTAGCGCACACCAACTTAGACATTATGAATTGATGGAAACAGTTTCAGAACAACAACTGCTTATGATATGTAAAGATAGAAATGCATTTTAAGGTTGTGCCCCAGATTTGACTCTATAATTTACTATTACTATTGTCGAATCACCTTGCAACTATGCTTGTAAACATCGCAGAACTTGCGACACTGAAAGAATACCTGTTTTCTTCGTCAATTCTCACGAACTACCATAAAATCGGAGACAATTTAGAACTTGCTATATGTATGGATACTAATTATACTCGGCGACCGTAAATGTATGTTTGTATGATGTGATAGTAAAACATTGGGATATTAATGTTCCCAAATCCCATCTACAGAACATGCTGTCACAAACAGTTTCACTTTAAAGAGCTAATGATGTTGATGTATAATATATAAACTTCGAAGTCTATTACGTATATATATATATGTAAACTTATTAACAGGATCGTCTAATTAAATGTTCCGAACCACCTATTGCTTGTTTACGACAAATTACAGTTACTATCCTTAAACTAAAGAAAAAGAGTTGTTCATCCGTTTTTATCGTGATATACTTTGCATTGTTTTTGTTTAAATATCAAATTTGACATCATATGCTTTTCAAACTATACAGAATTACGATCCATGTAAACCTATCGACCCTGTGATAAACTTATTATAAAAAGACTATCATTTAAACATTGAAAGAAGATCTTTTTTGGTCGGTACACACGGATAAGTTAAAACATTACTTAATATGTATTGAAATACAGTTATTAACCCGTATGGTTCTACATCCTATCGATACTTATATTTTGGCATTGCACACGGTCAAGTTTTTGTAGACATCTTTTCATTGAATCCATTAGATTTGTACTGACTGATACTTTGCCTTGACTACATGCTTTTTATACCAATTGTAATAGGCTTTGAACTAGCATTCATTAATTGAATACTCTCAGTATGTTATACTTTGTGTCTTTTACATTTTTATTACATGTAGTTGTTTTGGTGCTTTATTTCGTTTTGATGAGTTAAGCCCTATTCAACCGATTTTTACATTTTGCTCTTTTGGTGTGCTGCTACATCATGGTATCAGGGTAGTTGAAGAGTTCAAAGGCAGCAAACATGAATAACCCCAACACTGTATGTGCCTGTATCAAGTCCGGCGCCGGTAAATCATTGGTTGTCGATTGTTGCTGTATATCACATTAATTTGTTTTTCGTTTTGTACATACATGAGGCCGTCTGTTTTACAATTTGTCGTGTCGGGACTTTTTATAGCTTGTTATGTGGTATGGGTTTTACTAATTCTTGAAGGCCGCACGGTTACCTATTATTTCTAACATGTACGTCATTGTGTCTCTGGTGGATAGTTGTATCATATGCATCTCCTTATTTGATATTAAACATAAATATAGTTTCTCGCAAAGCATTTTTGACTCATCACCTGAATTGAAAGTTCAGTTGCTTGCATGTACCTTGGTATCGTATGCATTTATTCAACACTATCTCAAGATTAACAGAAAAGCAATATAGTCGGGGGTTGCTTAATTTCATGCCAAATATGTATAAGGGATGATTTAAGAAAAGCAAATTAGTATACTCCTCTTTACGGTCTTACTCTCATGATTCCATTTCATTATCAATGATGACCTTAGTTGCCAACAACATCCATTCCTCAATAGAAATCATTTGCGACATATCTGCCATTCACTGACTACACTACGAAAGTAACAAATGCAATCATGACATTAGGTTAGCACTGCAAAACCAATCCAAAATGCCATCTTTCTTCTGAGAGCCACCATTCCAAACATTATAACTCAAGCATTCCCTAGTCATAATTTCTGGCGAAAAGACAATTATTAGTTATAAAGTCATGTTCAATATTAGGGAAAATGTTAAGCACTAACAGACATGTTTTAACTTAGTCACATTCTGTAAGTTCATTTCTCAAGTTTGTAATTTATTTTTTCGTGTTGGTTGGTGTTTTCTATATTTGATTATATTTCATTGTTTAAGCATAAAACAGTGCGGCGATTTTCGCGTTTTATAAATAATGAAATTTATTGGTTTATTAGGAGTGAAATAATGCTTTAGCAGATACGAAAAGCATACTTCGTGTTTAAGCAAGCGAAATACAGGAAAATCAATTAAAAAAATAAATTAAACATCATTAACGGAGACGGAGTGACAGATCGAGCTGTTCATAGTAAATACAAAACGGCCACACTATATAAGAATTAACATAAAAAAATATAAAACATTTGATAAAAGCTATACATATATGGTGAATGTAATGATTTTTTAAAACATTTTATTTTTATCAGATGCCACTGAAATCTGCAGGAAGAATGGCATACAAATTTTTTGATGGTTGTAGTAAGTATGTTTTTCGAACACATATAAAACATAAGATCAAGAATAGAGTTGTGAATCAAGTGGAAATATAAAAGAATCGAGAGTAAAATTTAACGAAAAAGAAAGTTACCGTCTAAAAAGAAAAACTTGATAAATTGTAACTGGTTGATTTAAAATATACAAGAAGAAATGAAGTGGCCAAGATACCTGTGCGGTTTTGATGTTTCAGTACTCTAATTTGTTTAAACCCAACAAACAAAAAATGAAAGCAACACGTGATAATTTCATGCGTCAGAAGCGCTTTCTTGCATTTACTAGTACCTTTATCAGTAAGGTCCAAAGCCGAATATTTAAAAGCCAAGGATGTATAAGACAAATGTGATTTCACTATTCGGCGTTTCAACTTTACTGCATGTCTCCTTTTAATGTCATTCTTTTCGAAAAACAAACACAATCGACCTTCAAGATTTTCATTCATCATTCACATAACACCAATTGCTATGCAACGACCATAGATAAAGCCGATGATAAGGTTCATATCCCGCTGAGGGAAGGACACAAATTTGGTACCACAATTTTCTGAAATTCTTGGTCTACATTTCTGAAGATTTATATTTTCACATCTAAATATTTGAAAACTCAGGCATTCTCAAAAGCAACTCTACCTGAACTGTGCCTAGCGCCATAGATCATAAGGCCATTTATTAATTTTTATTATTTTTACTATATAATTTATAAATTCGTTAACTCCTGTTTGTAATTACCAAATGTTAACATATATATATAAACAAGTCTAAATTGAAAACAACGTTCAAACCTATGATTGCGTTGGATAAAAACCGCAATTTTTATACGTGTGCATGCAAAACCAATTTCTTGGTAGAGGGGTCTAAATACAGCACAAACAACATTTTCCAAAAGACCAAAAAGTGAAAAAGTATATTTTAACAAAACGCATTTATATATATATATATATATACAAGTCTAAATTGAAAACAACGTTCAAACCTATGATTGGGTTGGATAAAAACCGCAATTTTTACACGTGTGCATGCAAAACAAATTTCTTGTTGACGGGTCTAAATACAGCACAAACAACATTTTCCAAAAGATAAAAAAAGTGAAAAAGTATATTTTAACAAAATCGCATTTGACTAACAGGTCGAACAACAAATGTTCTTAAATCCTGCTGACTGCCATTGGCGATTGCCAAATAAACGGATCACAAAGTGTAATAAATGGATCTTAACTATAAATTTAATACCAAACAGAAAACAATAAACTTGCGGCAAAGATGGTATACCGCAAACAAAGGTGCGAAGATTTTTTGTACACCATATATATATATCATTTAATTTTGCACCATAGATGAAGGAAAAAACTCTGAAAAATATATCTTTCCATATTAACTGGATTTCTATTAAAAGTTATTTGAAAAAAGCTTCTTTTGTCATAAACATTTGGTTTGTTTGTCAGTAAAAAGATTTGTTTCCAAACTTAAATTGATTGTTTATACTAGAATTGTGTCTTGTGTGAACTAGAAGAACACAGCTATAATAGTGTCAAAAAAACATTCATTGTTTTTATTTTTAGTGTTAGGCGTGGATTCTACAGACCTACATTCGATAAGAGGTATATATATTCATGATAAGGAGATTATGACAATTATTTTAGAAAATCAAATGAAAACAGTTAGAATAAAAAATATTAATAAGACACAACAGCGACTATTTATTCTATCACTTTTCTTGCCATTAATTCTGATATTGTAATTAAGAAATAATTCATGGGGGCTTGATTACATCGTGATTTTACCACGGGTTGGCCCTTTATGACAGATATTTTACTCTGAGCGATAGCGAGGGGTAAAATATCGGCATAAAGGGACAACCCGTGGTAAAATCACGATATATTCAAGCCCCCATGAATTATTTCGATTCTAATAGGACAAATACGGCAATTGTTTTGGATCGAAGCGCTCTAGATGAAGGCATTATTTGCCGTTCCCATAAATAAACGCACTATCAAATTGACATAAAAGACCGGAGCAAACTGAATAAATGACATGCTTAAACTATTTACAATAACATATTTAGATTGGTTTGGATGAATCTAAATGATAATTGTACTTATATGTCTTATATGTTTACAAAAAATGGCTTATATAAAACATTTTAGCATCGTTTGTTTACGTTTCCTTGTTGTAATGATTTTCGGTTTCACAAGCGTGTATTTTCCCGTAAAATGTTTATATTCTTACGTCATCGTACTATGACGTCGCGTAGCTCATTCATAAAAAAGCATATGACGCGGGAGTACGATCGGAACAGCCCAAACAAAATATTCATATTTTACCACGGGTGTGTACTCAAAGCGTTTGAAGAACGCTATGTTAGAATCTGTGAACATTTTTACAATAATATGCGAGCATTTTCATTTACTATGGTAGTTTGTTAATATAAAATGCATTCAAATTTGAATCAAAAGAAATGTGGAATATATGTCGTTGAGAAAACAGCCAAACGATAAACAATCATATGCCTAGAGGTTATTATAATAATATGTCAAGGTATATGTATAAATCGAGAAGTGTCTTAAAAAGTTGTAAATATATAAAAAAGGAACTAGCATGAACGGTAAAAACGGCATTTATGCAAAATCACGCTAGAGAAAAAAAATCTACCCTAGTGTAAAAAACTCTTGCGGCGGTGAAATAGGGACTAAGATTATATGAACAAAGAATATTAACAAAATACACCAATTATCAACCAAATAAAATCTAGGATACATATAAAATAGATAATTTCAAAACAAATAGTGGAATATTTACAGTTCGACTATTTACAGTTCGATGGACCTATCACACAGTTTCTATAAAGTTACTGATTTCATATTTGGGGATTGTGTCTTTTATTAATTTCAATGTTTGAAAAAAAATAACTCAATTTGTTTTCAAATTTTCTCCAGAAGCATGCAGAGATAAGATCATTGAAGAGTATTCTGAAATATTATCTTTATTTGAACACATGGGCATGGATAATTTATGCCGTGCATTTCAAATTGAAGACGGAGAAATTAGGAGTCATAATTACGGCATGACGCAAGCAGATCGCCTCTTGTCAATGATAGTTATTCGTGAGGGAGATGAATGTCTCAGTTATCTACAAAAACTACCTCCTAAAGAGCAAAATATACTTAAAAGAATTCTGAGGAAACCAGGTAAAATGATAACTGTTCGCTTGCCAAAAATATTGAAGAATGCGAGCAAGGCGTATGATATTGCGTTATTGAGATCCACCGTATCTAAATTACTATCATGTCTTTAAATGGGATAAAAATGCTTTTCATGCGTTCACGGCGATTTCCTGAATTTATCTGCATAAGAATGTTCAAACTAAAGAAAATTGAAAACCAAGGATGTATTAATATCTGAAACGTGAAGAGCTACAAAAAGGGACATAAAAAGAAAAGCCAAATTAATCTACTGTAAAATTAGGTTGAGGAAGTTTCGACCTTTAGTCTCTAAATAGTGTTTTCATTTATTAACGGAGAATTTACTAAAAAGGATTTATTCACGTACCAAAGCAATAACTATTGAGCTGATAATTGTTATAATAATTCAGCGATATTAAGCTATATCTATTATACACTTCACACTTTAAAATTTTGAATATTTATGAACGTTATAGATATAATTATGGGACACTGTTTTTTTTTATCTTCAGCTAAAGAGTAATACATTGAATTGTTCCCATGATACGGCATAACGATTTTGTGTGTGTAGTTCTTTTAAACATTTAAACAATCTATGAACTGATGATTCTGTGCAAATTCGAAACCTATAGCGTTTGATTGATAGGATTTTCTCAAGCATTTTGTTTTGTTTATATCAATGTCCAGTCCGATCCCATATAGGACTGCAAAATTTATTATACAGATAGTTTTAGTGAATGCTAATTTAGAAATTAATTAGAAATTGAGTAACGTAGTTTATTTTGCGGGGTTATAATTCATTATTTCTTAGGCTTAACTTGTCCACGAGGAAAAAGCTCTGGGGTTTTCTGGTCTCTGATTCTACTATATTTTAAAGATTAACTCTATGAGAAGGATATTTTCGGGCTTTTTCTTTATAATCACGATTTTGGCAAAAATAATTCCCTTGGGAAAATAACCCTCTTTACAGTATTGAAATATTTTAAGAAAAGACTAAACTTATTACGTCATATTTATTGCATTAGCAAGTGAAGAGACATTCATTTGGCTTAATGATTAGCCACAGTCCAATTGTCATAAAAGTTGGAAGTTTAGCTAGCTATAAAACTATTTTTAACCCACCATTTTCTTCTGAAAATGCCTGTACCAAGTCAGGAAACTGGCAGTTGTTTTTCACTTGTTCCGTTGGTTGATAGCGCTTGATTTTGTCAGTTTTTATAGACTTCTCCTTATTGAATTTGCTTTGGAGTTAAGTGATTTGGTTATACATTGTATACTTTTTGTGTTATAGAATACTTTTAAAAGCAAATCATTATTACGTACATTTTAAAATTTTTACAGGAAAAGAAGTTCCAGGCGTTTTTCGAGAGAAGTACAGTAATGTAACTTTCGATGTCATACGAAATTTTCGGCAATACCTTGAGAGGGAGGTAGAAATTTGCAAAGTTATCATATCTCTTCTCGAGTACAATGTCATTTCCATATCCGAATATACAGAAATCAGAAATAAGGATACAAGGGCTAAACAACGGAAACAGTTAATAGCTTTCATATTAAACAAGGAAGATTTAAACCAGATAATCAGATTTTTATTCGTTTTACACGAATTTGGAAGAGAGGATATTTTAAATATCTTACTGACACGCAACACACACGATGTAGTAGAAGGTAATGTTTCAACTTGATTTAATCCCGTCTTTTGTCAGAATAAGCAATAAAATAAATGTAAGGAGATTTAAGTGAAAGTCTTGCCATTATAAGGGTTTTTATGTAGTTTAAATAAAGTGATGAAGTATCTGTAAATATTCACAACTTGTATACATATGGTATAAAATATAATAGTTGTATATTTGCAGATCTCCAAGTAAGACTCAGTGGTACAACTGTTCTTGTACGTATCCCAAGTTTTCCAACTATGCAACCAACCGTGCATGACATCGCAGCAGCTGCTGGAGAACATCTTGGACGCATACTTGTTGATCAATGGGAAGGTTCTATAGTTTTGAGATTATACTCAGAAACAGAAAACCTATCATCCCTTACGGTTCATCTAAACGAAGATAAACTAAAAAGATTTCTTCAGAAAATGTACATGTGTGTTGAGCTACTACCCAATGAGTGGAAACGTTTAGTAGTTGAAATGCAATTTATCCCAAATGATAAGTTTATAGAAGATCGTAAGTAGTTATGCTACTAATACATCAATGAATGTACAAATATGAGGATATATCGCTATCTAATATAAGAATGATGTTTAAAATACAATGTACATGTTCAATTTTTTGTGTTTGTGCTTGAAAAGTAAAAACAAACTACATATTCATTCAATTTATAGTTTTACAAGTAAACACCTTTTAAGAGCAATACAATTTTGATGAAGATAAATGCATAAAGGAGCAAACTTCACGGCTTAAACATTATGTTTAACATGTTTCACTTCAAATTGTCCGGTACCAGTTCGCACCAGTTTCAATGTGGATTTGTATTAACATGGCATGTTTTTAATTTTTTATAGGTTCTTTATTTATTTTATGCATGCAAAATATACCTTTTTTAAATTGTCTATGATGCATGTCAACAAAAAAGTACTATGATAATGCAATACACGGTGATACTTTGAATCTAATACAACAGATGGTACATGTGAAACAGGATCTGATGAACCTTCCGGAGCACGTGAGATCCCTACCAGATGTCGTGGGGTTCCTGTTGCTTAGTCTTTAGTTTTCTATGTTGTCATTTATATACTGTTGTTTGCCTTTCGTCGTTTCTCGTTTTGTTGCCACGCGTTGTAAGCTTGTCTTCGACTTATGATTTTGAATATCCTTTATGATATCTTCCGCTTTTCATATACTACAGACAAAATGTAAATAAAAAGGTACGATTTAAAGTCATAATATTCATTTTAGTTTTGGGATTGAAAAATCCAAGTAACTGGTAATCCGTATGGCGCTTACTGTATCCATCTTATTGCATATTTATTACTTTACCGTAATGAAAAATAAATCCATTAAGAAAAAACTTAACATTAAAGGATAGATGTTTTTACTCAAACCTATAGATATTTAGCCAACATATTCATTGCCAAAAATGACGATGTGTTTATACAGACAAATTGACCCCCCTTTGCACGTTCTTCTTACTATATCAGCACTGATATTTACAGATGTACTTTTAAGACCTTGATATACGAATTTCTCATGGTAAACTTCTTACCAAATGTTTCAGAAACGGGACGAGTTTTCCGTCCCTTTTGTTATTTTCTTTTCTTCAAAGCTGATATCCCGTTGGATGCATCTTAAAGAGTATACCTTAATTAGTTTTGTGTGTTAACTTTTTTCGTTTGCTTCTATTTTTGGGTTTTTGGAAAACGGATTTGAATGAATGTAATATTACATTATTGAAATAAATAGTTGTGTTACAGAAGTCATATATGTCAAACGTTCACGAAATATTATCATAGGTATTTACTGTTGAAACATGATTCCACCTGTTGGAATTTAATAAACAGTGATTCAACATTCATTTTTGTACGGTAATATACATTGACTTTTACTTTATCGAAAGTTACTTATTTCTATCATTGTTATTTCTATATACAGGCATGTCGATCAGTTATTCCGGTACGCAACTCCATGATAACACCGAGAGGAACCAGCCTTGTTCCCGGTAAGTTCATATAAATCAAACGGTAGCTATTATATAGAGTTTACACAGCGTTAGTATTAGGGTTCGGGTTTTTAAATTGTATGGCCTCGAGCATTACTGAAGATGCATGAATTTTTAAACTGCGTATTTGGTGCAGTAAATTCTGTAATTTAATGTTATTACTGTACAATTTTCTTATCAATAGGAAACTAACAATATTGAAATTTGGAGCAAATAATTTCAACCCACAATTCCTTTTCTAAATTCAACATTGCTTGTAAACATCAGATAATAGTATTTCTAAACTGTAATCTTCATAGTTGTAATCATAAATCTTTCAAATATCCTTTTTAATTATAATTTGCTGTTACTAAATGTATGTTTTATGCTGATTGTAATCGATTAACTTTACAATATATATGCCTCATTATTTGCTGTGGTTTTCTTCTTTTCTTTTTATTCTGACTTTTCAATTAAATTCCTAAATCGATTAAAATTTAAAACAATCATTTTAAGACTTCTCCGCTTTATATGGTATATTAAGGAGGGAGATTGGCGGTGTCAATTGATTGTTGTTTTGAGTAGCTTAAGCAAATTAGATGAATAATTGTAATTCAACAGTTAGACTTTTCATCTAATGAAATAAAAAAGATTTTTTCTTGATTTGTACATAAAAAAACATTTTCATCGATTTAAGATTTTTAGATTTATTTATATCAGTAGAGATAACTCAGAAATATTTAGAAAAAAATGTACAGTAAACAAATGTTTTGTTACATAAATTTGTGATTGATCATTATCATAATATTTTAGCTTTTGATTTTGCCATTTGATAAGGGACTTTCAGTTTTTAATTTTCCTTGGAGTTCAATATTTTTGTTTATTTACTTTTTTTACACACTGTATAAAAATCGCATTCATAGAATAACCAGCTTATTAAACAATCTTTATGGTAAGTATTCTAACATGGTTTTTAAAGCATAGTCTAAGTTCACATTATACAATTAATTCAATGTTAACTAAAATTCTAAATTCTATTTTTAGAATATTACCTTGACTTTTCGTCAAACTCAACATCTCTTTTTTTATTTCTAAATGTAGATTCTATTGAGGATAAAACATGTAACCAAAATCTCACAATTTACATCAAATAAGCGTGCGTGCGACAAGAGCAATATGGACAGAATTGCCACACTTTGGGTACAAATTATCTACAAAACGACAATAAAAAGAAGTCGATTAATGTCTCTTTAGTTCCAACATGATAGTAGTTGCACAATTATGTCTCATAACATTTACATTTTAACAGTAAAGTATTAGTACACTAGTTTTCTGCTCTTTGTTTGAGTTGTTGTCTCTTTGACGCATTCCCCGTTTCCATTCTCAGTTTTAGAATTATATTATTCCAATGTTATTTTAATTGAAAACACTGCATTTCAGTGTGTTACATGTTTCTACAAGCAAACTGATATTGATATTGCAGGCCAAAGTTTTCAAACAGACCCAAATCAAATCTCTACTTTTCCTGTGGTGTATGCGCTCTCTCGAATACTTTCATAATGATTAAATACTAATAGGGCTGTACTATTTTCTAATTCACACTCAGAAGCAGAGATATATTTATTTGTTACCTCATCTTGTTTTTAATTTGACTATAATGCAAAATACTTTCAATTCTTGTGAAATGGCTAAAAGCAAACCTTGTTATTCCAAATATTTAACCTTAAGTTCATGTGTGCTCTGCATCTAATTGACCTAACAAAATTCAGATATTTTAATTTCTCTAATTCTTCGTCAATTTATCCCTTTCTGCACCCATTGTATAAAAAAAATTTAATCAGCGTGTGGTTCGTTTGATCTCAGTTCATCATTGGTTAAAATCCTATTATGACGTCGAATTTTCTTGCTTTCCTCTGAATGTCCTATTGTGACGGCATGAAAAAAGGCGACCATGTCTGATGACGTCACATAGCAAGAACACATCGTTTTGCAGATCATTCGAAAAGAAGGAATAACTTTGCCTGCATATTGTTAGAAAATCATTAGAGAAACAGATTCCACCACCAAATCTCGTGTAATACGATATTTATCCACTCTCGACAGTTAAATTTTAAATATTTAAAACGCTCTAAAAATGTGCTTGAAGGTAAACCTATTGAATGAGAAAAACCGAGGAATACAATAAATTCCAATGCCGTTATTATCTCCAGATTAGAAGAAATATATCTTAAATGAAATTCCATATTTCAAAGCATGATTTTGTTCTTTCAAACTACAAAAGATCACTTTTAGTTCATTGAACATGTTGGGGGAAGATCATCAAGTTTTGGGTATTCCACTCATAAATGGGAATAAAAACCTATATACAAGAATCTTCCACAACCTGGTGAAATGACAAGATACTGTATCAGCTACTCACGTTTAAAATTTGAAAATTTAACTGTCTCGAGTGGATAAATATCGTATCACACTCGATGCAGTGGTACAATCTATATGTATCTGAATGTAAAGTAAATTGAGCTATTTTGTTATTTAGCAAGATGACAAGTATGGTGATCCAAATGTAATTTTACTGATTGTGAAAACAAAATATTAAAACTATCTTCTTGTTTTTCCTTTTCAAATTATATCGTTTAGTGTTCTTTCTTTCACACAATATTGCTTTTTCCATGTACATGATTTACAAAAGTTTACATGTTTTGCCCAACCAACAGCTTAAAAGAAAGCCGGATTACCTATAGTTTTTTTTTGAAAAGAATGATTTAACTACATTTGGTAAAGTATAAACATTTTTTCGTATATAATTAAACTGCCATCTTCCTCATATGATAGTTGTTTTGATAAACAAAAACAACATTAATAACAGTTAAATATGGAAACTGAAACCGTATTTATATGTACTGTACCAAGTCAGGAAAATGGCCATTGTTATATTATAGTTCGTTTCTGTGTGTGTTACATTTTAATGTTGTGTTTCTGTTGTGTCGTAGTTCTCCTCTTATATTTGATGTGTTTCCCTCAGTTTTAGTTTGTAACCAGGATTTGTTTTTTTCTCAATCGATTTATGAATTTCGAACAGCGGTATACTATTGTTGCCTTTATATATGACGAAATGTATATACATTGATTTTAGATGCCTCCAAGAAACTGTTCGCCAAAATGTGCAAACAATTGTTGATGAGCTAGAGTCTGACATAATAACAGAAACCTTCAACAACTTTGGCAATGCTTCAAAATTTGTGAAAGATATGTGTCTCAGTGTAAAATTTACACCTTCGAGACAAGAACGTGCACTTAGATTTCTTAATTTTGCTCTTCATGAAGAAAAATGTTTACGAGAATTCTTCAACGTGTTAAGACGGAGATCAAATGTAAACCTGATTCAAGCTCAGTGTTTGAGATGTTCAACAACAGAAGCAACTCATGGTAAGACCGGCTCTTGTACATTAATATACACTCTGTTAACAGATAAAACCCTATAAAACAAACTTTAATGCCTTATTGTCTTTAAAGATTTTCGTACCAAGTCCTTTAATTAGCAATTTTCATTATTTCAGATCACCTGTTCATATAAAGAAATAAGACGATGTGGTATGGGTGCCAATGAGACAACTCTCTATTCAAATCACAATGTGTAAAAAGTTAACAATTATAGGTCAAAGTACGGCCTTCAACACGGAAGCTATAAAGGGCCCCTAAATGTCTATTGTAAAACAATATGCGTGAGCTCTTTTTCACAAAACTAGCTTACGATAAAAATTAAAGACTAAAAAGAACAAAGCAAAACTATATACATTTATTGCAGAAGTCTTAAAATTGTATATGCGCATATTCATTATCATGGTTTAAAGAAATGGAATAATCATTCCTAACAAGAACAACCTAAAACAAGGATCACGCTGTGTTTTGAACATGGAATTTCATTTAAGATATATTTCTTCCAATCTGGAGATAATAACGGCATTGGAATTTATTGCATTCCTCAGTTTTTTTCATTCAATAGGTTTACCTTCAAGCACATTTTTAGAATGGTCACAGAAATGTTACTGTGAAATTGACCCAAACTGTTCAATTAGATTTATAACATAGTTAAATATTTACCCGAATTACAAAATTCCATATGAAAGACTATACAATGCATGGAATCGTTCGTATTTTAGAATTAGACATTATCTAATTAACTCCAAAATTTCCTCCGATGACTGCCGTTGACCTTATGACACATTTGAAACATAGATATCAATAGACAGACAAGCACCTGTTATAGTATACTGACGATTATTCTAGGTATGTGTTTGACTCCTTTTCATATATTCAAAAATAATGTGTAAAAAGTAAAACAACAAAAATACTGAACTCCTAGGCAAATCCAAAACGGAAAGTCCGTAATCAAATGGCAAAATCAAAGGCTCAAACACATCAAACGAATGGATAACAACTGTAATATTCCTGACTTGGAACAGGCATTTTCTTATGTAGAAAATGGTGGATTAAACCTGGTTTTATAGCTAGCTAAACCTCTCACTTGTATGACAGTCGCATAAAATTTAGTTATAAAGGATCGTTTTTCTTGTAATAGAATGGTTTTTGTGGACCGAATTAGTCAACGAAATGGTTTTTACTGGAGGGAAAAGTCGTAACTTATCTCCCTTAACATAACTAGCCGGTTTTTAATACTGAAGAAACTATAGATGAGCTGCTATATTTGCTACCTTAATTTATTATATACTCTTTCTTTTACCTTTTTCACACTGTTTTCACTTACAGAGGTAACAAAGTGTTTAAAAACCACACGGATAAGATATAGTTAACCTCGAAATTTCTGTTATGCTCAATGTGTGTTTGGTTACTTCACATTCACGTATATACCGCATTTCACAATTCATATTTGATAACTTTCAAATAATTTTAGCATGTATATTATACAATAACTGTCTTTTGATGAGGTAAGTATGCGGTTTTATTGACTTTTGAAAAATGATATTCACTGATTCAATAAAACCACATATTTACCGAAACAAAAGACAGTTATTGTTTTATTCCATTTTCCCAGAGAAAACAATGTATTTGATGTCAAATATTTACCAAAACCAATTGTATATCAAACATTTTACCATAATGTTACAGTTAAAAGCGCGTGACGTTCAGTGCGGTGAATATCACCTTTCTCCAGGTGAATATGCTTTTTTATTCAAAATCCAATTCAAAAAGAGAAAACGTACTAAACACATGCTAAAATAATACCAATATGGAATAAACTTTGTTATTAACGACAGTGGAACTGTTACAATATCATTACAAAAAGAAAGTTATATTTTATTTCTGTCCACATTTACATACCTGCCAAAAGCTGTTAAAACGCTTGATACCACAATGTAGTTCCCTTTTTCATTTGTTATTTTACCCACAATTAATATTTTTCAGCTGTAGAGAATATGGAACCTTACAACCAAAAACATGCGATGTGTTTTTACCTTATAAGAGAAGAAGGTATGCAAATCATTTCTACATAATTTATGTGAATCAAATATATAATGACTGTAAGACAAAGGTATCACATATTTCATTTTCAAAAGACATAACACATATGCAGTACAATAATATGGAAGACAGTTACTATGTGTTAAAATTGGTACACATTTTAAAATTTTTAAAGCTTCAAATAATTTTGTTTATCAGGTATGCATTTAGTTTTGATTTCTGCAAAGTTAATAAAATTGAGAATGGAAATGGTGAATATGTCAAAGAGACAAAAACCCGACCAAAGAGCAGAAAACAGCCGAAGCATTTGTTGATCATTTATTACTTTATGTTCTTCCAAATATCATTTATATGGTCATATTTATAAATTGACTGTTTACAACAGTTTGAATTGTATGAAATACTAAGGATTATTGACTCCTAGAATACATTACCTTAGCTATATCTTCCAAAACCTTTCGGAATTTTGGGTAACCAATGCCCTTCAACTTCGGACTGAGTTTTCCCATTTATTTATTTTTTATTTGAACGTCACTGATGAGTCTTTTGTAGATGCGTGTCTGGTGTATACATTATAAGCCTGAAAACTTTGATGAGTTTTTGTGTGGGAAATTTGTGACATTCATGCAGAGTTTCGTTTTTCCTCTGTGTGTATGTGTGTTTGTTTGTGTGTGAGACATCTTAAAAGCAGTAACGATAGGAAAGTGGTAAGCCGATAAAATACTGATATCAATATTGTCGAAGAAATACTGATACCAATAATCAGAATTTTTTTTAAATTTTGTTGTCATTAGTCATTAATCCATTAGAATATAAACATTAGCGTGCTTGTATACATGGTGCATATTACTATCACGAATTAGAACTATAAGCACGACAAATGAGATCCTCAAATCACAAAATGAATTTATCTATCTTATACATGCAAAAAAAAAGTTTCATCTAGTGTAAACGATTTTCTACTATTGCATATATTGTTCAATCTATTTATCCTTTATTTTTTATTTTAAATTCAAAATGTGATGCATTCCAGTTTAAAACAAATCTTTTTGATATCCATATTCAGGCAAAAATGTTGTGCGAGGTGATAAAGAGTGTCTGGGACCAACAGCTGGTTTTTCTATTAGAGATATTCACAGAAGACAGGAGTATTGGGGTACAACTAGGTAATAAATGGAATTAGGATATGTTAAAAAGGGATTTTTTTTTACTCTACATGAAATTTGCATATATGAAGTCGTAAAATACCAAAAAAAAAAGAAAGAATTCAATTAGATGTATTAATATTATAATAACAGCACATACATTGTAACCAGCAACTAAAAGTCAGTACATTATAGTTTTAAGAAAATGATAATCAGTTACTGTTTTCATTCTAATAGGTAAATTCATTTTTTAAGAAATTGTCTGAAAAAGAATAATTACCGGTTAATAGTTTCAAATATTATTTATTGAGTATTGACTATTTACTGGGGGCAAATATTTTCTGCAAAAAGACTAGTAACCGGTAAAATTATTCAGGATTTAAAAAAAGGGGGGATTCCGAAAATTTGAATATATTCATATATGATGTATAGTATATCGCGGCTTGTTCATAACGTTAACGATACGTGTCCGTACAGTTTTATTTATGACGTCAATAAGGATATGGGTTCGTGGAATTTAACTTCCTCCACTTCAATTTCATAAATGATAGTTTATACAAAATGTTTCATTCGGAACAGTTGTAAAAGTTGTAGTGTAAAGAGAATACACATGCATTGTCTCGAAATATATACCAGTGTCTTTCTGTATAATAAAATACTTATTTACTGACCTACGGACAATAGCAAATTTCGCGTCTTGAAATAGTTACCGTCTGGGGGTCAGTAAACTTGTAATTGTACCCATAATTAGTAAATAAGTGTATACTATCAACCAAAGTGTTTAGAAAAAGTGAGAACAATACCAGATATTATAATTTTGTATGAGTATTTATATATTTTTTATTTCAGTCATCATATGCAATTACATGGTGAGTGTTATGACTTTGTATCTGCAAGTAGTAGAAAAATACACCCCCTAAATACAAAATAATACTAAAACATATCAGATATTTAATAAAATTACAAAGCATCGCTCTAATCGTTTGGCGAAGTATTTCACATTGACTTTCTTATGGTTACTTATGCTATGCCATAAACATGTTTAACTCAGTATTTTATTCGGTCATTATATTTAATCAATCGCCTTTATATGCACATTAATGATGTTTAAGATTTACGATATTACTGCATCATCGACGATTTCAAGTTACCCATAGTGGTTCAGTGGTGTGAGTATGATAAATAATCTGGTCAATCCAATGCCTTTAAACATCAATTTGCTTCTTCCCCGTTGAATACAAATAATTTGAGAATATGTACAAAGATTAGTAAAACATTATATGCTAGGAAAGAGTGATTTTGGAAATATACTATTAGTTTAGCATGGTTAGTACACACAAAATATCTGTATACTGTGGATTCATTTATTTTCGTGGGTACCAATTTTTATGGATTAAGGAATAATTGTGTTTTTTTTTGTGGATATTTGATTTCGTGGTTTTGCAAACGTCTGCATACAAGCCTAAAGAAAATGTGTACTTCGTTGAACATTTTAATTCGTGGTTCACGTATACCCATAAAATCCACGAACTTTGGTACCCAACAAATAATAATAAACCCACAGTATCTCTGATTTGTAATCGTCATAGATCTGCAAGTTACATCTGTCTTAGATTTTTATCATCTAATAATTAAAAATCAATCTTGTGACATATTCGATAAAGAAAATATTTATCCAAATAAACATATTGAGTTTGCAATTAGGAAATGTGTTTATGTTTTTTTAGGGGATAGAAGTTTCGAGCAGCAGGAAACAGCATCAACATGGGAGGAACAAACTGGAACGGTTTTTTATCCAAGAGAAAGTTCGACGCCGGAATTTGGCAGTAGAAGGTACCGTCAATCGAGAGAATTTGAAAGCAATCCACATATATCGTACAAATTAAAAAAGTCAAAAAGAAGAAAGGACAGACGACGGACACAATAAAATTTTCTTCATAACTTTAAAATCAACCAAGACTTGCGTTAAAATGCAGTGGTTTGATTTCATCATATATGAAAGTATAGTGTATTACACAGAAAAGTTTATTTAAACCGTCACTGAATGTGGACAAAATCAAGCATAGCATCAACAAGAAAAATATACATGTATTTGGATTTTAAATCTTGAATGATTATTTTGCTCTTAGGAAAAAAATATATGTTTGCTTCTTTCTTGAGTCTTTTGATAGTTTTTTTTTTAAAAAGGGGATGGTTCTTATATGGCTGTTAATTAGGGCCCATAACAAAATTAGTAAAAGGAAATAGTAGGTATACGTAAATGAGATAGCAACCAAACGACACAGGCGCAAATGAACCCGATCATAAAATAAAGTTGCCAATGCATATATCATTATAAAAGTTCTTTCATCAGCAAATTTCGGCATATTTCAAAACATTACGCTCAGAAAAAAGACAACAACTGACGATGTTCTGGAAAAAAGGACAGGCACATGAATGTGTCGGGGTGAACCGAAAAGTTTTAGATACCATCCCTTTCTCTGTTTGTCTCATCGCTAAATTAGTAAAAAATATATAAAATTAAAAGATCCAAAGGGATAAAAGAATTCGCCAAATTTACAAAAAAGTCACACAGACAAAATTAAACAGCAACAATCGACCCCGCCGATAAAACAGACGCGCCCAACTGCACAAACAAGGACAATATACGGATAGCACATGGCTTAGATAGCCTGGCCGTTTACAGTCATATACTTTTGTGGGGTTAAATTAGTTTGAAATGTGCATAAACGTCTCCCTTTGTCTATCTGGACCACATGTCATAACATTAAAAAATACTTAACGTTACAGCAGCAATTAGTATAACCGAAACTTTGAACACGTCTCACGCCTGTATCCCTTGCCGTTGAAAGATTTAAGAAAATTTTGGGGTTAAATTCAGTATTTTAGTGGAAGTGTCAAAGCCAGTACCTTCACAAACCAGTAACAAATGAGACTGAACGATTCTTAACATTTTAGTGACAAGTACACCTTTTTATTTTATTTCAAAAATTTATATAAAACAGACTTCTCGTATTGAGTGGAGTAAATGAGTCCATCAGAATACGAATTTGACACATTTCATCGACCACCTTTCAATTCATTTATATAGCTTTGTACGATATTATGCACCGATTGATATGATGCCAATTCAGTTCTTAAAAAAAGAGTACATTAAATGCAAGACTTTGCCATTTAATAGGATAATAAGAATAAATATCGTGTAAATATCAAATAATCATGTATAATATACTGGTCACAGGTTTTGGTATTATCAAGGCATATGCATGCAAATTATTTATACATTACACATAACTCTGAAAATGCACGCGTTTAAGCAAACCATAAGCATGCATAAAAGGCATTACTGTAAACGATAGAGGATATCACAAGGCAAACTATAGTCATGAGTACTCGAGTGTTTCCTGCAATTAAATACGTATTTAAAACAAAGAAGAAGACAAGATTAGTTTAGCATGTTTAGCAAACACAGGCGTGTACAGGAGATAGACAAGTGCCTGACCTTTTTAATCAGCTCAAGTTTTTGCATTGTATTGGTATGGTCATATTGTAATCTTAATAAAATGTTATTTCCCTCGTAGATCTGTATGATTTAGCGGATTGATTGATTGGTATTGCTTGATTAAAGTCTAGGTACAAATGTTTAATGCATAACGTGACCAAATAACATGTTGTACAAAACGTATAAAATGAAGTCATGTTGGATAGGAGCAGAAATTGTCTTTAAACAGGCAGCATATTGACTCTCAGATAGTTGCTGCTAGGGTTCTACAAAGGACAGAGAGCGTGGCACCAGTATATTCAACGAAATGTCATCAAGCCTTTTGTTTATTTTTCAATTAGAATCAAGCGATACAACCCTTTAAGGGACTTTCCGTTTTGTATTTACTTCGGAGGTCGGCATTTTTGTTATTTTACCTTTTAACTAATCAAATCATGCACAAATCAAGTTTTGGACGATAACATCAATCCATTGATATATCATTTGTTTTACTGTATGCAATTTGAAACGCATACCTTTTCATTATTATAGTTTGAATAACACGTTAACATGAATAATTGTATTGGGTAATCAAAGATAATGTGCTGAAATCTTAGTAACATTTTTTCATTGCTTTATTTATTAGTTTGTTTAAATCAAATAATAGACATTTTTATTTGGATTTTCGTATCAAATGTTTTCTACGCCGGGCTATTCATAACCCTTCGAATAGGTAACAGTCACCAACATAAGTGATTATTTCTTTTCACAGTGTTAAAGTGTATCTTGAATCATTCCTATATATTTGAAATGCACCTGTTCATGAAAAATGCAAAAATCAGTAATGGTGATCAGTAATTTTCTTTTAACTTCGACAATGGCATTTAAGAATACCTTAAATTGACAATAGGAATAATGGAAACTAATGGCAAACAGACCACATCAACTAACAACATCCGACACTTTCGAAAAATATATTAACAGCGGCGACGAGAGCGCATTATACGGACGTGTTGTACATAGTTAAAATCTTGCCTGAACAAATTGCATATTTAGGAGGCATATGGTATAATCTGAAGGAAGTAAGTTTGCCCTGTAGAAAAGTTTCATGAGGATATCCTAAGACGTATAAAAATTACCTTAAAAATAACTGTTCAAAGTTCCTTAACGACACACAAGAAAAGTTCCAATACCAAAGGAAGCCTACATTCAACAATCCCAACACTAGCTTATATTTACTTGATCATATGATATAGAGGAAGTAAAAATTTGCCTCAAATGTCATTGTTTAAGATCTTTAACTAACTTTAGAATGACTAATCGGAAAAAAATCAAAATTAAAAGATATCTTATTTTCAACAATTTCAACATTAAGGCAAGGTTTCTAGTTAATGAATTCAAGCAAACTGGTCCGCGATGTATGAATATTTGCCTTTAATATGAAGGTTGAAGTCCCTTAACTCTAGAAGACAAACACACATTTCAGAATATAAAGAGAGCGTTCTTGCATCGATTCCATACAGATTTCAAAGCGTTCGATAGAAGAGTATTACATTTCTTATGCGAAACAGAAACGGACGAAGAGACAGACAATGTTATATCACTAAACATCCTTTTGATGACTTCTTGTAGGGTGCCAAGCTTCCTAAAAATGAAAAAAAAAAAAACAAAACAGACAAATATTTTGAAAGGCTTGGTAAAATGTACTCATTAGCGAAAGATAATACACCTGTTGGCCAGAAAAAAAATCAGATGCAACAATCTTCACAGTTGTCCTGAATTCTCATCAAATTGAATTGAAACCAGCGCATTTGTTTGTAAGGTCAATAAATATTTAAAATCCTTGGAACAGCGGAAGACCAATTCTCACCTAATTAGCAAATAGGTACTAATCACAATTTCAACTTATTGAGAGTTTGAAGAAGGGTAATAGTAACAGGGAACTGTAAACAGTTTATGATTTTGTTAAATAAGATTATGTCAATCTTTCAAAAATTCAACATTTCTGGTAAGATATCCGTGAACATTACCAACCTATGGTATAACCCTGAAACTTATAAACTACATTTTTCTCTTCAAATATTATCTAAATTATAGTTTCCTGTCATTGTTTAAATCTGGTTTTATCAGGCCAACCTACAAAACATATGCCACATCACTTGCGGTTTTCTAGTTTCCTGTTTATTTTGGTAAATACGGTATCCTAATTGTTTAAATTCAAAACACTAACAAAAGTAAATGTTGTAAAAAGGTATACCAAATATATCAAACTCCAAATAAATCCAAAAAGAGGAAGTCCATAAAAACTGACAAAATCAAACGTTATAAACCAACGAGGCGAGTGAAAAACAACATATTTCTGACTTAGTACAGGTATTTTCCTCAGAATGGTGGGTTTAACCTGGTTTTATAGCTAGCTAAACTTCCATTTGTATGACAGCTGCTTATAGTTCTCTTGTATTGAAAACTTTATTCGTATTTGTATATAAATATGATTTTTCTAAGTTCAAAAATATATTTTGTATTAATGCAAGTTTTATGTCATTTTAGTCATTTTCATTAGAACATATTCTAGATAACCGTACAAGTGTAAGCTGTACCAAGAGAAACATGACCAAGTAATAAAGGAAAAGATTGAGATGGATTATTTGAAAAAAAAGTTTCTTTTGTCAATGTTTGTCGTTTAATTTAGTTTTAACTTTTCCATTTTGTACTATTACAACTATGTCTTAAAATTGACAATATTTGCTCCTCTTTTAAGCTGTTATAAGTTGATAATTTTTAGATGAAACATTGAGCATTTTTAAAATCTCGCGGTGGTCAATTGTAAGAACACCAAGTAGGCATCTGCTATTCCTAATTGTGAAAATTTGTAATTTATTTTGTTCGAAATAAACTCCTCATAAATATCAGTATGAAAATTGTGTACGCCAGAAGCACTTTTCGTCTACAAAAGATTCGATCATCAGTGACACTTTAAAACAAGACAAAAAGGCAAAAATAAAGTACAAGGTTAAAGAGCATTAATTTGAATTTTCCCTTTCTACTATTTTCCAAGAGATAAGATTTTTATTAATTAGAGATGCGCAGTAAGTACCAATATAAATTCTGATAATTTAAAGATGTAGCAGAATCTTGCTATGGCAAATTTATTTATCTTTCATTCATTTTAACAGCTAAATTCAAATTTTATCCGAAGCGTTTGAACATTTTCTGAACTTTTCCATTATCAAGCTTAAAGCAACCACATATCAATCAATCTGTTATCAAGTTTTAGAATCGTTAAACAAGCAAAGAGTTTTGGAGTTATTTTCAATTCTTCGAGGTTTTGTCCATAGAACATGTAGAAGGGTAATTTTGTCACGCTTTGAAAATTGTCTACTCTCTGAGTCTTACAAATATGAATAAATCATCCATAAACAACCAAGAACACAATATTTCCCAAATAACAGAACAAAGAAATTAAAACGAAAATTACAATGAAAAATGAAATAAACAACTAACTAAAGGAGAACATTGTAATTGATTTTGGATTAGTACACGCAGATGTATCGGGTTTTAAATTAGCCTAGTATTCCAAAAAGGTGCAGATAATATCAAGGGGACATTCATATCTTGAAAGTAAAAAGGAAGTTGACAACGTCATAGCAAAAAACAAAAGAAGACGCAAAAAAAAAACCAAGGCCACGAATACTACATACTACATAGAAAACTAAAGACTGAGCTACACGAGGACCATCAAAACGGGGAGTTATCTCAGGTACCAGGAAGAGTTAGCAGATCATGCTCCACTAATGACCTTTTGTTCTAATCATAATCAGTAAATTAACAAAACATAAAAGGAAATACACTAAAAATCGAAACATAAAAAAAAACCCGCGTCGAGAATATTCGCAGTTACGGAAAGCAATATCAAAATAATTTACCTGCTGGTATCATCCTGTCGTACGCTTTATCATTGGTGGAGGTTCCATACAGCAACGCAATACACAATGCAGGAAACCATGAGCGTGCGCAAGGTCAAAAGTATATTTATAAGCAAAACTCAATATTTGTTGTATTTGCCCCATAGATATATAAGGGGATTTTGGAAGGAGGTGGTTGAATTGTCGATGAGATCAATAAAATAACAAGAATAGAATTTGCATGCTGCCTTTCGTTTTGATTGCTGATCTGTTATCTGTTAATTTATTTTTATTATCGAAAGGTGATACGCAAGTTGCAGGAATCGTTCTAAAGTGACCTATAAAACGAGAGAAAAATATTTCTATAAATTTATTACAGTTTTGTATTACCATATAACGTGATAATATAGGCAAAAGGTAAAATCATAAAAATACTGAACTCCGAGGAAAATGCAAAACGGAAAGTCCCTAATCAAATGGTAAATTATCAAATGATAAAACACATCACACGAATGGACAACAAAGAAATTAGACCAATTTTACTCCTAAGCAATAAAAAAGTCTTTGAATCTTTACCAAAATACAAAGTATTAGAGCTTAATGTGAGTACTTGAGCTTGTTACAACTATGTGCCGGGTTATTAACAATATGAAACAAAATTATAAAATAATTATTCTACATAACGGGTAAAAAGGAGGTTTTGGAAAAAAAATAGTATTGAAGTTTCAATATTCGACAAAACCCGACTATAATATTGGTCCAAACCAAAAAAAAAAAACATCTGAAAGTAAAGCAGATACTTTTTGTTCGATGTCTAATTTTTATTAAAAAAGAGGAAAGTTTGGTATTGTTGCAATAGGATAGGAAAATCATATTTAACCGTAAATAATATAAGTTATCTTTTTTTGTTGAAAAAGATCCGTAAAACATGCCGCCTTCACATTCTAACATTCATATTCCAGGTTTAACCGAATTAAATGTCATTCATTAATGTATTATTGAATCATAATGATGTTAAAAATATATTAAATGATATTTTCTAAATTTTTTAAATCATTTTTATTTCATTAACAAATGTTAACGTTATCTTAATCAATGAACACTTGGATATTTAGTACAGCAATTCAAGGTAAATGTTGATATTTTGACGAGTTTTGCATACATTTTTCTCAAAGGGATTACGTTTGCACATTAGACGATAAGTGTCAAATTGCAACAATACATTTTTAGTGATTGCAAAATAAGCTCAAAATAGTCCATGCGCGAAATCTTCCACATCAAAATTTTATTAACTTAGATGACACCACTGTCGATCAAAACTGCGATTAAGTCATGTAT